GAGCACCCTTTGAGAAAGGCTATTCGACACCAAACCAGCCTGCTTCATGGCTCACACAGGGCCGGAATGGAGTCACGCACAGGACCCTCTTCAGGGAAACACATTCTTTTTGATTGAATGTACTTGAGCTTATTCATCATCTCTGACAGCCCCTTCGCACTCTTATCAGCTCTGGAAATAAAAGGCCTCAAGAAATTTAATAATTATAGAAGTGGCTATGAAAATGCCATTCACTGTGAGCAGTGAACAAGACGGTAATATGTAATACTGGACAGGGGCCCACAGGCAAATAGCAGCGGCAGATGCACAGGCTTGTGTTGTTTTGTCTAACGTGTGAAAGACAGAAGTCTGAAATGTGGAACTGCTCTGTGAGAACTCCACATTAGCTTCTGCAGAGGAATTGCCCCAAAGGCAAACCTGAAATGTTCAATCACTACTCAGAGATGCTTCAGCATGCCTCCGTCTCTGAGCCAAGAATGCCTCAGAGACAACCCCACAAGGCAGCCTGGTGAGGCCTCCCTTTTGTCTGCAGACAGAGGGTGAGAAGCTGCGTTTTCTTACCCTCTGAGGTTGCAGATAACAAGGCCATACGCTTGCTTCGTTTGCAAGGAGCTGTGTCCGCGCCTGGCCCTGCTGTGTTCTAACAGGGTGGGCATTTTAAAATAAGCTCAGGTAATATAACTGGCATCCTACCACCCACAGTTTTCCCCACAACCCGTCTCTGCCTGGTTAACCTCTCAGAAAAACATCACTTCCTCCAGGAAGCCTTTTTTGACTCTCAAGTCTACTCCGTTCTCCTGCTTTACTCTCTCCCCGGGAACCCTGTGAGTGCGTCCTGCTTTGAGACACTGACTGACACCACACAGTGACTTGTTCAGCGACTGGCCCTGCCAGATCATGGGCTCTGTGAGGCCTGGATGGTCATATTCACCACTGTGTGCCCAACACTCAGCATGAATACACATCTGCCCTCTTCTCCAGGGCCCACTCAGTCTCCTCTGCCTCGCCCATTAGCATCCTTTTTCTGCGTGCCATGCCCCGAAGATCTGGGGGGAAAGGACCGCGGAATCATGAGCACCCTCTCGGTTCTCCTTGTACAATGCCACACTCAGTGTTTGGTGTTTACAGAAGCCTCACATTCTTGCAAAGATTTCCACCCTGAGGTGCAGCAAATATCTGTGTCAATTTGGACCATTCAGTTAGTGTTCTGGCTGTCACATTCCAGTTTGGACCTGGCTTGAAGTTACGAAGAAGGCAAAGGTTTCAATGATGGGTTCACACACTGTTCTGGGCTGAGGAGGCTCAGCGGGAGAGAGGAGCCTCTAGCCGGAGGATGTTGGGACCAGGAGGAAGTCTCTTTGCTATGGAGCAAATTACTTGAATGTGCATATTGGTGGCGAATCAGACTAAAAACAAGGCTGCTTTCTTCACTAGTTCAGCTTCTCGGCTGCTTTCTTCACTAGTTCGGCTTCTCAGTTATATCAGATGCCCCAGCCCCGGGCCTGTCTTTAACCCAGGCTTTGAGGCTTCAGATTTTTCGAAGCTCTTTCTTATGCATCAGCAGCATAGATACTTTTGTTAAATATTGACTAGGGGTGGTGACAACATCTCCATCCTAAAGGAGAGAAAGCTGAGGCCCAGAGATGTATGGTCCTTTGGCTAAACTCAGACTTGAGATTTGTGACTTCCAGACCAGTGCTATTTGGCCAGTTACTTTATGGGACATAGGTCAGGGTCAGATTGGATCAAAATTAACTAGCTTTATTATTTGTTTGTTTAATATTTACTGTGTTCCAGGAAGTATGTTAAGACCTCACATGTGTGATCTCATTTAATCTCTCTAGTAAGTCTTGGGGGTAGATATTATTATTATTATTCCCATTTTATAGACAAGGAAACTGAGGGACAGAGAGGTTAAATAACTTGGCCAGCATAATACATTAATAAGTACAGAGCCAGGATTCAAATCCTGTACTGGCTGATGGCCAGTGATAAAGCTGTGCTCTTAACTGACTTTTCTGGAAGCTTCTACAAATGTCTGGGTAGCTTCCTGGCATTAGGCAGACTGCAGTGTGTGGTCTGGGTGGATGGTACAAAGCCAGCAGTGTCTCTGACTGCCATTCAGGTGTTGGGTTGAGAGGAATGCTCAGGACAGCCTCTGATACAGGTGGGCATGGTCAGGGTGGCTAAATGGGGGTTCAGGGGTGCCAGGAGACCTCTTGGCCGAGCAAAGATGACCTGGGACAGGGAGGGATTGGTCACTGTCTCTTGGGCCCAACTCTTGCTTGCTAGGCTCCGAAATCCCCTGTTGACATAACCCCTGTCCTCCCTGCAGGCCTGTGCTCAGAGCTCTCAGACCTGGACCCCTTGATTCAGAGCTCCATTCAGGCCTGCATTTTTGAGATTGCCTCACAGAGAGCAGCAGCCCTGTGGCTTCTCTAGCTCAGCGCAGAGCAAGCAGCTGCCTTCATGGCAGTCCCAGTGTTGCTGTCACTGTTGATAAATGGGAAGGTTGGCTCTGCCACCTGGTCATGTGAGGCTTTGGGCATGTTCTGGAGCTTATCAGAGCTTTGATTTCTTCGTCTATAAAGTGGAGATAGTAATATTTGTTTCATGAGTCATTGTGAGGTGGCAATGAAATAATATATGCAAGGTGATTAGCACACCGTAAATATTCCGTAAGTATTAAATGATGGCAGCAATGATGATGACAAAGCATAAGGTATGTTTCCAGCAAGTTTCAATTCATGCTAGAGCATGCACTAATATTATTTAATGCCTACATAAGTGGTAACCTTGCTTGGAAGAACAGATGACAACATGAAACTACCTGTATATAGTTAGCTGGAGCCAACCTTATGGTTTGTTATATCTGGGCTCTGGCTCTTAAAAACTGTGCAAGTTTAAGCAAGTTACTCAGCCTCTCTGAGCCCATCCACTCAGAAGAAATTTCACCTGCAGCATGAGGACTGGGCCTTTGTTCCCAGGAGATGGAGCTAAGACTTCCCAGGGTATCCGGGATGCCCTGCTCCTGAGGGGTGGCTGGTCCCCATGGCAAAGTCTCCCCCCTGGCCACACCAGCAGAGTGCAGAGGCTGTTCTTGAGGGTGAGCTGGGCTGGCTGGAACACAGGCTGGTTTGTGCAGCAGCTGTCCTACCTTTGTTCTCAAGAGTCTTTTACCTGTAACTGCTTTCTTTGAACTGGGCTATCTCTTCCTGGCTGCACTTCTGGTCATCAGCCCAACCCTTTCTTTTCAAAGAAAGCCTCTTCTCTGTGAGAAGATGCCCAGCCTTTGAGGCCGCCCCACCCCACCCATTACACCTGGCACCTGGGTAAACATGGCCTTTCTGCTGGCCACTTCCCCAGGACAGGGCCTGACTCTGGGCTGGGCAGCCAGGAGGGAGATGCTTGTCATGAGCCTCCAGGACTCCTGGTGACTTGTGCCAGGCCCTGGGTTACAAAAGTGATTTACACCTTCTCTGCCCTTGAGTTGGGTGTGGGAGGTACCGTACAGCAAGAACAGGATCTCAGTGCTCAGGCAAGTTTCGAATCAAATTCTGGCTCTGCTGGTCACTGCTGTTTGTTTTAGTAAGACACTTTTAGCTTCAGGTCCCCCATCTTCAAGCTGGTTAACAATATTACCCACCTCATCTTATCTCATGGGATAAGATGCACTTAGTACGGGGCCTAGCACATAAGAAATACTCAATATTTATCAGTCATCATCAGCGTTGCCATTCTTTCTTGAGAAGCTCCCAGTTGTTATGGAGGCACGACACCAGTGCTCTAGGGTGGCAAGTACTGGATGTGGTGTGAGCATGGAGAAGGGGCACCTAGAGCTGCCTGGATGCCCAGAAGGTACCACCTGGATTATGTGAAGAGGGAGCCCCTTGGGAGGACCAGAGGGGTAATGGGCACCGTCCCTTCCCTCGAGCCACTGATGTGCAGACAGGTCTCATCTCCCCGCCTGGGTCTGCATGACAGGCAGGTCATGACACGTGTCACGAAAGAGTTGAGGAACAATGTCAGGCAGTGGTGGGTGAGGGTAGCAGCCCCTCTTCGCTTCAATGATTGGGAAAATCTTCATGGGACAACAAGAATTCATGATGGATTCTAAGAACAGCTACTTGTTGACCACATAGGCCAGGTAGAGGAAAGCACAAAGAAGACATGGAAAACGCAGGAGGTGAGGGCATGGGTGTGCAGTGAGTGGATGAGTGGGGGCCCTTCCAGTGAGGCGTGAGGAAGCCAGGGCTGGGCATGTGGGCGGCAGGGTCCCCCATGTGCTGCAGGAGCAGTGGGGTGGGGTGGGAAGCTGTCCAGGGAGGCTCCCAGGGTCCTTTATTCACTTCTGTTGGGCATGGCCCTGTGTTTGGAGACGGAACTCATGGCCTGTGTACTACTGAAGGAGGGCATGTCCCTAGGGCCTGACCCCATCTGATGAACCAGCTCTGCAGCCCAAAAAGGAGACCCTGTGCACTCTTGCTCCTGAATATCTCCTCTCTTCACTGAAAACAAGAGTGTCTGTGGCATTTCTTCTGCTCCACTCAGAGTAAAATCCAAACTCCCACTGAGTCTGCAAGCGCCTTTGTGATCTGCCCTTCCCAGATCCCTCCCTGAGTTAGTTTCTACTCCTCCCTCCTGCTTAATGCACTTCAGCTGCTTTGGCCTCCTTGTTCTTTTCAGACTCCCACCGCCCCCGCCCCTGGGCCCCCGCTGCCCACCAAGCACACTGCTGCCCGAGAGCCTTTGCACCTGCTGTTCCTTCTGCCTGGAACACTTTCCCAGCTGCTTTGTCACTGACTCCCTTTGCTCAGTTCCTTGCTCCAACATCACTCTTCAGACAGGCCACCTGTCACCCCCTTAGCAGAAGCAGCCTCCCTCTCCCTCTCTTTCCTATCCTCCTGTTTATTCCCTTATGCCCCTCGTCAGTCTGAAATGACTTCAAGTATTTGTTCATATGTTCATTCGTTCATATGTTGATTGTCTCTTTTCCTCAGCTTGTCTGCGAGGGCATGTAGCCAGGGAGCATGACTGTCTTGTGGATTGCTGGACTCTGGTGCCTGGCATGGGGTAAGCTTTGAGGTAGGAGAACAGTAAATATGTATTTATGAGTTGAGGGATGGATGGATGGACGGAGGGATGGAGGGATGGATGGATGGATGGATGAATGGATGGATGGATGGATGGATGGATGGATGGATGGGCTAATTGAGGCCTCAGTGTCTGGAGCTGAGTGTGACAGAAGATGAAGTGGCCTGGGCAGCTGGGGCCCTGGGGCTGGGACATCCTTTCCCTGTTGGCTCTATGCCACTGTGACATGCACCCTCCAGCCTTCCAGGCAGCAGGGGCCTGGGATAGGGATATAGATTCTATCCATGAGCCCCTTTTTGTTTCCTAACTTTTTATTATAGAAACTTTTAAACACCTGCGAAAATAGAATAGCATAAACCATACCCATGTACCTGTCACTCAGCTTTGACAATGAGCAGCTCCGGGAAAATCTTGTTCATCTATTCTACACCCCACTTCACCTTGCAAGAGTTATCCCGAAGCAAATCTATGGGCCCCTCTTTCATGTAGAGAGCTCAGAAATACTTCCTGGCAAGTGTTTTCTGCAGGCTCCCAGCATCTCTCTCTTCCCCATGTATCCTGAGTCCTCAGGTGCTCTGTCTTCTCCCTGAGTTAAACTGGCTCTCAATAAGAGCTCTGCTAAATATATTCCCATTAAGCTATACATGTCTGAGATTTGCATGGTCACTGTGATGGTGCATTCATCCAAATTCTCTATGTTAATGGTGGAGTGTCAGGCCCCACCCCGGTCAGGCAGAGATGTCCCAGTCATCCCAGGGCAACCCTGGACCACAGCTGGGTTCAAGTCTATAATGTTGCTGCTGTGGTGCCCTACAGAGACTGGGGTAAGCGCAATGGAAGAAATGGTTGCTGTGAGCCAGTCAAGAGCTGAGCTGGGCCTGGTTTGGGGAGAGCCTAGGTATCTTTGGAATCATTCTTCATGACTTCTGGTGGAAGAACACATTTGAGAGAGAGGGAGTGAGCGAGTACCATGAATCCTAGCGGGGCAGGGCAGGCAGGCACTGCTTTTGAGAAGCGGGCTGGCTCTCATCACAGTCATGGCTAGATGGGCTCCCTTTCCTTGTAGAATATGACGTTTGCTTTGCTTAAAGTTAGTAAAATGCCATTTTATTGGTAGTGTTTTTATTTAGTTGCTTGACTGTCCCGCCAAGGTGATTTTATTATTCCAAAATGTGGAAAACTCCATTCAAAGAAGAAAATAATACAAAACAGATTTTGGTTCGCATACTAAAATTCACTGAAAAATTGAGATCTCAGCCCACAACTCTTCGTGACAGTAAAACAAAGACCCCCAACAGCTCCCAGGGTATCCAGCCCCTGAGCTCAGACCAGCTCCCTGTGCTGCATTGTCCTGCTGCCCACTGAGTGGCAGAACCTGACAACTGGCCTGCCTCTGGGATGGAGCTGGCATTGGCCTGGACTCCCTAGCCTTGGGCTCTTGGGCCAATTCCTCCAACCCCACCCAAGTCCTAGATTGACTCTCTGGCCAGATTCCCCCTGAATTTTGTGGGAAGCTGTGGGAAGAGCCCTGTTGGAGGCCAGTTCTTAACCCACAGGTCCTGACTTGCAACCATTAGGGAGCAGAATCAGCCAGAGAGCCTGATACAAATCTAAATTCTTACGCCCCACCCCAAAGGTTCGGACTCAGTACAGAAAGGGCAAGGCCCTGGAATCTGCATTTTAGTAAGCTAACCCTGGTGCTTTTGAAGCAGGGCGCCATGGACCACATCCCAGAAGCACTGCTACGCCAAGAAGCACAGTGTGATGTTTAAAGGGCAGAGTTATTGGAGTTTGAAATCCTATGTTTGAATCTTGGCTTGCTGACTATGTTACTCAACCTTTCTGAACTCTAGTTTTCTCCATTTAAATGTAGATAATAATAGTATGTACATCATATGATTCCTATGGTTTGTATAAGATAATGCCTTATGAGTTCAGCACAGTGCCGGGAACGTTGTAAATACTTGCTTCATGTTGACTGCTTTATTATTATTATTTTCTGTCATTCCTCAACTGCACATCTGTCCCCTACCTCCACCTTTCTCAAGAATATTATCACCTAGGTCGTTGGGTTTTTAAAAAGGCTCAGATAGACAACATTTACCAATTCCTGTGGGGTAAATTCTCCCACTATGGTCATTTTAAAGCTCACAACGTGATGACATTTAACACCAAGTTGGGAAGAGATGTGCACAGTTGGCCCATATAAGCTGGTAAAAGCTGGCTCCGGCACACCACCAGGAAGTCCCCTTTCACTGTGAGGCCCCAAGTGTGTTACTGCTGCCTTGGTTGGAGCTGGTAAATGCAGAGAAGGCTGTGAGCAGAGAGTCTGATGTAACTCTACCTCTTGCTGCAAAGGGCAGCTGATTTTCGCACAGCTTTGCAGTCTGTATGTACTCACGGTTGATGCAGGAAATGGGAATTGTAGCCTCAATTACTGTCATTGGGAACCTAGAGCAGAAATTATTATCAAACGGGTGAGATGGCTCCAGATCACTAATATTTACCATTTGCCATGGATTGCATGAAAGGGTATGATGCCTCTGAAGCCACTGCCGTCTCTTTTGCTGGTTCTGGTTTTGTTCTGTCTTGTTTTGATCACTGACAAGGCAGGCTTATGTCATGAAACAAGTGTGGGTCTTGGAGCCAGACTGTCTGGGATCAAATCGCAGCACTGCTACATAACAAGATCTTTGTGACTTTGAGCAAGTTGCCTTACCTCTCTGGAGCAGTTTGCGCCTCTGTGCAAATGGGCATATTAATGAATGCATTGCAGTATTTTGAAATTAGACATAACATAGGTTATGTGCATAGGAAAGGACCTAAAAGAGAAAAGATGCTCAGTGAATGGAACCTCAACCTGTGACTTCCTGGGAAGAAGGCACTGGTCAAATGGCTTTTCTGAAGCCTTTTATCCAGGTGTTTAGATGCTCACTGATAACCCAGCCTCATTTGTACAGGAGAGAAGAGTGGACAGTTTCATAACACCAAGTTTCAAAAGTTTTATTTCCTCCTTGAAGTACTTTTCTTCTGCATAAAGAAATACTAAGTTTTTTCCTAAAAATCCATCATGTGGATTTTTAAAACCAAATTTGGAGGATATATTTGGGAAGTTTTGATTTGAAATATAAGTTGAATGGTTACATGGCACTTAGAAGCCTGGCCATAAAATAGGAAAAGATCCAAGATGGCAGAGCCACAAAAATGGCCCAAGTTCCCATTTGAGGGAAATGCCCAAGTTCCCATTTGAGGAGAGCAGTGCAAGAGTTGCTTGACCAGAAATATTCACTGTGGACTTTCTGTGAGTAAGAAATAAACCTCTTCTGCATGAAGCCATTGAGATTTGAGATATTTCTGTTGCATGAGCTAACATTAGGCAACCTTGATTAATACATCACACAAGCAACATGCACTTTGGGAAGCTTGGGAACCACTCAAAGAGACAGTCAGTCATATTCCAGAGCAGCTCAGCCAAGGCTCAAGAGGTGTCCCTAAGTTACTGCACTTGCCTTAGGCATACCAGCAGCAGCGAGAGGCAGGGGAAACCTTTCGTAGCTTCAAATATGAACTCCAGCCTGTGGGAAAAGAATTGCAATCCTCTCCAGGGGCTGCTTCACAAGTTGCTTTTGGCCTCATGGGTATGCTGGTGGGTTCTCTGGAGTGCCATGTGATCTGCTAGATTCATGTTATTTGGAGGCAAGGAAAGCTTCAGTGCTAAGACCACTAGACAGTACACTTTTCATTCACTTCATCTTTCTCCCAGGAACATATAGGACTTGCTTGTGCATAAAAAATGGAAGACTACTTTCAAGTTGCTACTGACCCCAAAGTCTTTCCAGCACATTAAAATCTGTCCATCCTTTTTTGCCCTCTCCTCAGTGCCTGGACTGTATTTTTCAGTTACTGGGGTTGGCACCCCATGATTGCTGATGTCTCCTGCACCCTCATCCTCCTCTGTTTATTGATTACCCAGCCCTGTTGGCTCTTCCTATGCAGGTTTTCACCTGGATCCTTCTTCCTAAGGGCCACAGCTGCCACTTCCATAGACCTCAGAACTTTTTCACCTGGACTTCTGTAGCCACCCCTTCACTGGCCTCCCTGCCTCTAGCATCCCTCTCCCACCCAGGGATCCTGCAGGCTGCATTCTTCAGTCCCTGCGAAGCACAGTTCTCCCAACTTCTCACAAGTCGGCTTGAAAACTTCCCACGTCTTTGTTGGCCTTGACCCTGAATTGTCGATGATTTTCTAATGGAATCAGAGCATCTTTTGTTCCAAAGTTTTCTCATTGTTTTCTTTCAGTGGGATTGTATCTCCCGCCAGGCACACCCTACTGTTTTTGTGAAAATTATAGGCTGCAAATAACCGCTTAAGTCAACTGCCAGACGAGGTACTCTCTTCACAGGGAAAATTCCAGCTGTTGAACAAGTTTATGGGCTTTATTTTTGGAGCAAAGAATTCATCAAGTGAAGAACAGAATCTTCCAGGTGCTCGAACTCTACTCCTATCATAAAGCGGGAGTATGTCTCTGAGTGGTCTGTGTCTTTCAAGGTCAAATTTATGACCCTAATACTTATTAACTCTCTCTTTCTGGTGACTTCCTTGGGCCCTCTCTGCAGCCTTACAGTAGACACTTTGGAGAATACACAAAGAGAAACAAATACAAGAGACAGGAGAGAGGGCCTGAGGAAGAGATCAGTCTCCAGTCGGCTTCCCCTGAGATCTGACTGTGTTCCCTGCCTCAGGCTCCATGAGTTGATACCTCATCATGAGGATACTTCTGGCTTATGCCTGGTAATTTCCTCAACCCCAACAGTTTCAATTGAGACTCACCAAAAGATCACCTTCCTCCCCTTGAATGCTTGTGGGGAGAAGAGGGTACTCCAAAAGAAGTACCCAAGGTTTGTGCTCAGACCGTATCTGCCTCTTGCACTTGAGGCAAACCTGCCTTTCCACAACGCATTCTAGACATGACTGAGGAGCACAAGAAGTGG